GAGCCGGGCTGACGAAGCGCACCGTAGACTTGGTGCGAGTGGCAGGAACAGGCCGGGCCGGGCTGGCGACGCACACCGTAGGCTTGGTGCGTGAAGCAGGGACAGGCCGGACCGGGCTGGCGACGCACACCGTAGGCTTGGTGCGAGGAGCAGGGACAGGCCGGACCGGGCTGGCGATGCACACCGTAGGCTTGGTGCGAGGAGCAGGGACAGGCCGGACCGGGCTGGCGACGCACACCGTAGGCTTGGTGCGAGGAGCAGGGACAGGCCGGACCGGGCTGGCGACGCACACCGTAGGCTTGGTGCGAGGAGCAGGGACAGGCCGGACCGGGCTGGCGACGCACACCGTAGGCTTGGTGCGGGGAGCAGGAACAGGCCGGACCGTACTGGGGACACACACCACTGGTCCTACACAGGGATCTGGAATGGGCCGGACCGGACTGGTAACACACCCCAGTACCTCTCGCCGTGCCTCTACACCTTCCATCCCCTCTTCGACCAGTGGCCCCCGTAACCTGGCGGCCTCCTCTGCCAACCCGCTGGGCCGCTCTGCCGCGGTCTCCTGCTGGCCCGTCGTCCACGGCGTTAGCCCCCCCCTAAAAAATGTCTGGCCGTCTCTCCTACCCGTGGACCAGGTCTCCATGTCCCTCGCCAGCCTTTCGCCCTTCTGCTTCCATGTCAAGCCCTTCTCTTCCTCACCCGGCTTGACCCAGTCGAGGAGGCGAAGGAGATCTGCTAGAGATCTCCCTGGCGATGGCTCCTGGACACGCTGCTTGGTCCAATCTTGGTGGGTTCTTCTGTCACGATCGTCGAACAGAGATGAGGACCAAGGCGCAGCGTTGCAGGCAAACATACTCTTTAATTAGAGACACGATCAAAAACAACAAACGATACGTGACAGTTCACGGTCTAACATAAACAGACTAGAAACAAGAACCCACAAACACAAAGGGAAAACAGACAGTTTAAATATGGCTCCCAATCAGAGACAACCAACGACAGCTGACACTCGTTGCCTCTGATTGGGAGTCACTCTAGCCAACATAGAAATAAACACAACAGAATGAACACACCCTGGCTCAACATATAGAGTCCCAGAGCCAGGGTGTGACAGGATGAGTTATTTGATTTTGATGGAAGACAAGTAGATATATCTGATTAATACTGTTCGTTAGGGAAGAGAGAAACTAAATGGAAGGCATATGGATTTGATTCTTCTGTTTTGGAAATTAAAGATGGATGGGCAGGTAGGAATCTTTGGTTCAAGGAGTTAACTCATTCTGTAAGATCAGTGAGGAATCTTGAGGGTAAATGTCTGTTGAGAATTTCAGCACTAGGAACATGGGGTTCAATCTTAGAGAAGGTAGCTAAACCTCTATCAAGTATGTGTCAATCTTATGTTTTATAATGGCTGTTGTATCAGCAACAATCATTAAGAGATTAAATAATGTAGTTGTGGAAGCATTTGTTTAGGCCTAGATTTAAGTGTTATTGGTTAAGTGAATTAACCTATGTGAATTTGTTAGATGGGAAGGAAAATCAGTTAACAGCGCTTCATGAAGCATTGGAGGTGAAACCAGTGAGGGCTAAAAGCTGTTTTTGTTGAAATAAAACATATGATGGAAAGAGGATGTTTAGGGGAATATCAGATGGTGATGATTATATGATGACTTTGGGGTAAGCATGAACATAAGGTTAGTAATGAGAAATATAATGTAACTTTTGATGTTTAATTTAGTAAGAAGTGAATGACTTTGATGGAAAGAGAAGTTTTTGCATGGTAATGTGACTATTGGGAATTTTAGAGATATTTAGGGGGTTTGTGGTGAGAAAGAATATATTCTTACCCTATGGATGGAAAGGATGTTGTTACATGTTGAAGTTGAAGCTTCCATATGAGGTTTAAAATTAATAGAGGGGAAGCAAGGGACAGAGATAAATCTGATTCTGAAAGAGAGAAGTTTAATAGTCTGGGAAGCCTACCATTGGAGGATAAGTCTAGGAGAGAAGTGGGGCATTTTTCCATGGTATGGTGTAACATTTTGGGAAGATAACATAGATAATATTACCTATAATTTGAAGGGTTTTGCAAATGAAACGATAAGAGGGTTTAACCTTCTGTCAAGACTCAAAGGAGTATTGATGGATAGATATCAATTTTGAATTTTCACATGTTTTTAAGTATTATGGTGATTTTAGTATTTTGTGATGAATCAAAGGGGGGAAATGGTATGTGATTCATTTTATATATTTTTTATATTTTTAGTTGATATTGATGTTTTAATTTGAATGTGTTGTTTTGCAAAAGATACTGTTTGGTCTTTTATTTTCTTCCAGAAGCATATGGGGGAATGTTAGAAGGGACAATATGAAGGGACAATATGAATGGACTGGAGGAAGTGGAACAAGGAAGGTGTGGAAAGGTTCAGATTCCATCATCGAAGTTGCATTGGAAGTCGACACTGCTGAGGAGATGAAGTGTAGTGGACTACATTCCAGTGTCTGCAATGATATATAGACATATTTGCATGTGTATTCAAATTGCTGTTATTGGGTACATGTGGGGATCTCAGATGTTTTTGTTTATTTTGTGGATGCTTAGGGATATTGGGTCTAGGCAGGGATAGAGAGAATCCACAGGAGGGTCCGATGGGTTGACCAGCCTGAATGTGGACAAATTTGATTGTATTTTGTTTGCTGAGGCTTTCATGTGTATTTAATTGCATCATAGTTTAAAATGCATTGATAAAGATGTATGAATTGATCTGGAGTACTTAAGTGGTTGCCTGGGGCAGAGGGGCCGTGAGAGAATTTTACTGTCTTGATTGATTGATGGATATTTGGAAAGGAAGCTGCCAGACAGGTTTTTCGCTCTCACACTCCATAAAGATTTGTTCATATTTCATAGAAATGTATTTACACTCCATAGAAAATGTGTTTTTGGTTTATTGTTAAAAGATACTCAATAAGAGAAAAATTGTTATTTGTCATAAACCTATTCTTTTTGGTTTCGAGACTTAATTAGTCTCGAAGGGGGGAAATATGTGGTATCTGAGGAATTTATGACTTTGCTAATGGTTGCAAATGATCTTAGAGGATGTTGACTTAGCTTAACCCTCCCGTTGTCCTAGGGTCAAAATGACCCGCCACTGTGTTGAACCAACTTTATTTAATTTTTATATTTTTTGGATCATTTGTGAGAAGGAGGCAGTGATACTTTCTTTAAAGTCTCACTGCCTCCTTCTCACAAATGATCCCAAAAATATAAAAATTAAATAAAGTTGGTTCAACACAGTGGCGGGTCATTTTGACCCTAGGACAACGGGAGGGTTAAGGGAAGCATCTGGGGAGTAGTTCTATAGGGGCAGAGGAAGTCTGTTAGGTGGAGTCCTGGGATTGGTCTTTAGGGGAAAACACCCATATCAGGTTACATGGGATATATACTATGGGTTAAAACAGAGGACAGGGAGAATAACATATTACAGATTGGGTCCGGTTATTCTCCAGATATCGGCAGATATCTGTAAATTGACGCTGGAATCCTTTGATATAAATAAACCTTTATAATCAAAGTACAGTGTCAGCGGATTTCCTTGTTTTCACAGCATAACTAGCATCGGTTTCTCGACACCACACGACCAAACTGAGCAACCGGGCAAGAAGGACCTTGGTCAGGGAGGTGACCAAGAACCCAATGACCACTCTTACAGAACTACAGAGTTCCTTGGCTGAGGTGGGAGAACCTGCCAGACGAACATCAGTCTCTACAGCACTTCACCAATCTGGGCTTTATGGCTACTCCTGAGAGAAAAAAGGATGATGACAGCACGCCTAGAATTTGCAAAAAGGCACATGCAAGACAGACCATAAGGCAAAAGATTTGGTGGTCTGATGAGACAAAATGTTTTACTCTTTGGCCTGAATGCAAAGTGCTATGTCTGGAGAAAACCAGGCACAGCTCATCACCCGTCTAACACCATACCTACCGTGAAGCATGGTGGCGGCAGCTTTATGCCATGGGGATGCTTTTCAGCGGCAGGGACTGGAAGACTGGTAATAATAGAGGGAACAATGGAATGGAGCCAAATACAGGCAAATCCTTGATGAGAACCTGCTTCAGTGCAGATGACCTTAGACTGGGGCGAAGATCTAAGTTCCAACAGGACAATAACCCCAAGCATACAGCCAAAGCAACGCTGGAATGGCTTTAGACCAGTATGTGAAAGTCCTTGAGTGGCCCAACCAAAGCCCAGACTTGAATCCCATTTAAAATCTGAGGAAAGACTAAGTTTTGGGAGCGTCGATGAACAAAAATATAAACGTAACATGCAACAATTTTCAAATATGTTAAGAGTTACAGTTCATATAATGAAATCAGTCCCCAATTATGGATTTCACGACTGGGCAGGGGTGCAGCCATGGGTGGGCCTGGGAGGGCATAGGCCCACCCACTGTGGAGCCAGGCTTAGCCAATCAGAATGAGTTTATCTCCACAAAAGGGCTTTATTACAGACAGAAATACTCCTCAGACGATCCCACAGGTCATGAAGCTGGATGTGGATATCCTGGGTTGGCGTGGTTACACGTGGTCTGCAGTTGTGAGGCCGGTTGGACGTACTGCCAAATTCTCTAAAACGACATTGGAGGCAGTTTATGGTAGAGAAATTAACATTCAATTCTCTGGCGGACATTCCTAGTCAGCATGCCAATTGCACATTCCCTCAAAACTTGCAACATCTGTGGCATTGCGTGAAAAGACTACACTTTTATTGCCCCCGCACAAGGTGCACCTGTGTAATGATCATGCTGTTTAATCAGCTTCTTGATTTGCCACACCTGTCATGTGAATGGATTATATTGCAAAGGAGAAATGCTCACTAATAGGAATGTAAACACATTTGCTCACAAAATTTGAGAAAAATAAGCTTTGTGCACATGCAGAACATTTCTGGGATTTTTTTTTATTTCAGCTCATGAAACCAACACTTTACATGTTGTTTATATTTTTGTTCAGTATAATTTAAGAGCTTAAAAAAAAAATCTGCAAGGAAGAAAATCCTTAAGATGTGCAAATTTGATATACATACCCAACGACAGAAAGCTGTAATCACCGCCAAAGGTGATTCTACAAAGTATTGACTCAGGGGTGTGAATACTTATGTAAATTATATCTATTTCATTTTCAATTCTCGCTAAAATATCAAAAAAACATGTTTCCACTTTGTCATTATGGGGTTGTGTGTGTAGATGGTTGAGAAATATTTCATCCATTTTGAATTCAGGCAAAATGTGGAATAAGTCAACGGGTATGAATACTTTGAAGGCACTGTACATAACAAATATAAACCAATAAAGTTCAGACAGCAAATATGGTTAGGAGAGGAAGTTTGAAATATAAAGTTTAACAATGACATTCTGTAGAGGGGGAAAAAATAACCACAAACGACAGCTTTGTTTTTATAAAAAAAATGGGTTTTAACAATTCCATTTTTCAATACAAAACATTTGAAGCCCTGCCAATCAAACAAGTCAACTGTGACAATCTGACAAAAGTATGAGGATTTCCCCTGTCATGCCCAAAAATCTAAAATAACATGTGTCCTTTTCTTTCTAATTATGGGAAATATTACAATAACGAAAAAAACTACCAATCACTCATCATCGTTAGCTAATAGTAATATAAAAGGATGAATGTGAAGTCCTGTTGGTCAGGTCAGAGTCCGAACACGCATCTCCGAACAGAGTCCAGTCCGAACACACGCCTCCACAGTTCCGGTCAACAAGATGGCGTCTGTCTACTCTATGCAGTCTTCTGCTGGCCCTTCTTCCCGATCAGGGACTTGTGGATGTGGGGGATCACACCTGGAAACAGAAGCAACAGTGGTTAGATAGGAATACAAGTGAGAGTATGTTGTACAGGAAATGGCGATATGGTGTTGTTCATGCGTGTACTGTACGTCAATAGCCATGATCCAAAAATAGGTGACTATGTGGAGTGTATGAGTTGTGTGCGCGCGCAAGTGATTTAATAAAATGTGCTTTCTGAACCCACCGCCTCCAGCGATGGTGGCCTTGATGAGGGAGTCCAACTCCTCATCTCCACGGATGGCAAGCTGCAAGTGGCGGGGAGTGATACGCTTCACCTTCAGATCTTTGGAGGCGTTACCCGCCAACTCTAGTACCTAGAAACAAGTCAACCAAATCAGGATACAATATAACAATACAACTCCATTGAAACCATTTTTGTGTCTGTGATCAACTGAAAATCGAGAGCTTGGGACTATAATGCGCTATCAGCATTTGTCCAAATTGAGTTGACATAGCCTTGTTTTGTTCAACGTTCTCTACCTATACAGTACTTCAGATACACTACATGATCAAAAGTTTGTGGACACCGGCTCGTCGAACATCTCATTCCAAAAATGATGGGCATTAATATGGCGTTGGTCCCCAATTTTTGCAGCTATAAACAGCCTCCACTCTTCTGGGAAGGCTCTATTGGAACATTGCTACGGGGACTTGCGTCCACTCAGCCACAAGAACATTCGTGAGGCCGGGCACTGATGTTTGGCGATTAGGCCTGGCTTGCAGTCGGCGTTCCAATTCCTCCGAAAGGTGTTCAATGGGGTTGAGGTCAGGGCTCTGTGTAGGCCAACCAAGTTCTTCAACACCGATCTCAAACCATTTCTCTATGGACCTCGCTTTGTGCACGGGGGCATTGTCATGCTGAAACGGCGAAGGGCCTTCCCCAACCGGTTGCCACAAAGTTGGAAGCACAGAATGTAATTGTATGCTGTAGCGTTAAGACTTCCCTTCACTGGAACTAAAGGGGCCTAGCCCGAACCATGAAACACAGCCCCAGACCATTATCCCTCCACCAAACTTTAGTTGGCAATATGCATCGGGGCAGCTAGTGGGTTCTGGCATCTGCCAAACCCAGAGTCATCTGTCGGACTGCCAGATGGTGACGTGTGATTCATCACTCCAGAGAACGAGTTTCCACTGAGAACAAGTCCAATGGTGGCAAACGTTACACCATTCCAGCCGACGCTTGGCATTGCGTGTGGTGAGCTTGTGTGCGGCTGCTCAGCCATGGAAACCCATTTCATGAACCTCCAGACTAACAGTTCTTGTGCTGCCGTTGCTTCCAGGGGCAGTTAGGAACTCGGTAGTGAGTGTTCCAACAGAGGACAGATGATTTTTTTACACGCTTCAGCACTCAGCGGTCCCGTTCTGTGAGCTATTGTGGCCTACCACTTCGCGGCTGAGCAGTTGTTGCTCCTTGATGTTTCCACTTCACAATAACAGCACTTACGGTTGACCAGGGCAGCTCTAGCAGGGCAGAAATTTGACAAACTGACTTGTTGGAAAGGTGGCATCCTGTGACGGTGCCACGTTGAAAGTCATAGCTCTTCAGTAAGGCCATTCTACTGCCAATGTTTGTCTATGGAGATTGTATGGCTGTGTGCTCGATTTTATACACCTGTCAGCAATGGGTGTGGCTGAAATAGCCAAATCCACAAATTTGAAGGGCTGTTCACATTTTGTGTGTGTTATATATAGTACCAATTCATGTTGCTAAATTAAAAAGAACAGAAGATAACAAAAAAATCCCTGACACCATTCAAACCAATGAGGGTTTGGAACATTAAAGCCAATTATCTCAGAATAATCTTTATGCAGCTAGAACCTTACAGTCCCAAACGTAAAACGATTCAGAGATCTACTATTTAAAAAAATTAAATAAAGCTTATACATCTCTTTCCACCCCTTCACAAATGGACTAATGACATAATTTTGTTTAAATGACAGCAATTCAGAATAAGTAACCCAACAGGATATAACGGTGTGAGATAGTGTCTCACCTCAGCGGTGAGATACTCGAGGATGGCAGCACTATATACAGCCGCTGTGGCTCCTACACGTCCATGGCTGGTAGTACGGGTCTTCAAGTGCCTGTGGATACGCCCCACTGGGAACTGGCAGGAATAAAACAGATGTGAGGTTAGGCGCCAATGGGGAGGGGATGAGTGGCTTCTAGCAATTGGAGTACACATGAACACTGAAACATGAAGTAAAAAAAAGAGCTAACCAATTGCATGCAAGACTGAAAATAATGAATGGCATGGAATTGCATGCAAGGTGCACTGCATCATAGGATCTCTGTAGAGGTATTCAATCTTACCTGCAGTCCAGCTCTCTGGGAGCGCGATACTGCTTTCGCCTTGGCCTTGCCACTGTCTTTTCCTGCCTTACCGCCAGCCTAGAATATAGGAAGCAAAACACAAAATATTACAAAAGGAGGCCGTAAAATGTGACTTAAGTAACATAATAGAAATCATGTTATTTGCATGTCAGCACTCTTTCCCAAAATGTCTTAAATAACACCTGCTACTCCAGAAATCCCCTAACCTGACCCTCCCTGGTCACAAACCATCACTTGCTAGTAGTTACAGTAAACACAAGTGTTCTCTCATAAATACATAATTAGCTAGTCTCAGGTCCACTTATTTTATTGTTTTACTAATTGAATGTCAAATAGGAAACGTAGTGTTTCTTTCTCACCTTTATTAATGTATTTGTTAATTACTTTGAAATGTGCTCCATAAGTAAAGTTTGATTTAATTGTTGTACAGAAACGTGTCGACAATTTGGGATGATAACTCGCCAGTGGATGTCATTCAAAATAAAACATAGCTATTTAGGAAGATTGTTAGCTAGCGTTCCAGCTGAATCATCCGGTTCTTGACCGCATACGGTTTCCCGCCAGTTACCAAGCAGCAGCTGGCATCAAAATGATGCGATGAAAAGGCACTGAAGCATGCTTTAGGACAGTTGCTCAACTCCATGTGGAGGAGAAACCCAGGTAACTAGGTATGTGGATAAAACGAACTTGACCTACATTCACACTATTGTAATGAAGTAGTCAAGCGGAGCGATTGATATACCCAATGAATTAGCCACTTTCTGAAATTGACTAATGCTAAAAGAGAGAATTAGTAGCTAGATAACCTCGACAGATATGGCAATATTTACATTTGATTTGGTAGAGAATAGTAGCCGCGGGACAACCCGACCGAACTCGAAAACAAATTGTCAGCTAGCTAACGTTGCTTAATTTAGCTAGCTAGGTATACTAACGTTAGTAGCCTAATAGCCGTTCAACCACATGATATGTACGCGAAAATAGCCTAATTAAGCGATATTTCTAACATGAATTAGCTATACAAGCAATTACCAAACAAATAAAACTACAAGTTTCACAAGTATGCTGAAAAGTAACCTAAATATCTCACTAACTAGGTATCGGTTAGTAATGCGAACTTGTTGGCTTACTGTAGCTGGCTAACGCTAGCTTGGCATTTATTTTTAGGTCATTTGAAGCAGTAGTAGCCGGTAATGCAATTAAAACAAATGATATACCAAGCAGTCGTTATTCAAAGTATCACTACAAATAATAAACACATAACGTTACCATTTCAGCGTTTTGTTATTTGGTTGTGGAACTGAAGAGATCAGAAACAATTTCGGTTGAAGACGGAGAGAAACAATAAACCCCTTCAGCTCGCAAACCTATGCCCGGGACTCCTCGCGAGCGGATATTGACCAATGGGAATTCGTGTTGTTACTTTGAATCCTTTTTCTGACCAATCACAGCGCTGCTTGTACACATGTTACCCATCCCCCACCCCAAATTCGGCATGTCCTTTGCGCACGAGACAAAGTAGGCGGGACTGCTGAGCTAGAAATTGGCACTCAAAATGTATTTGTATTGATTATCAATATTATTCACGTGATTGACTAATAAAATGCTGAAATATACTTCGTGCATGCACACATCTGGATATTGCATATTCAGAAATACTCAAGGCACCCGTCTTTGATAATGTATGCGTCGATGCAGTTGCAAACTGACTGGGTGACCTAAAATATTAATTTGCCTCACAATTGGTGTACAAAATCAATGGGTAACTAATTAGCTAGTGCACAATTAATTAAACATACTCAGCAGTATTTTACTAGTTTGTCTGAGTATCTATTCGTTTCATATCATGTATTTTTAACACGACTAGGTTTTCAATGCATTAGAAAAGTAAGCCGATTGATACCATAAATAATCGGGGGAAATCGTTGATTTCATCGAATTAGGAGGGCACAATTTATTGACTGGCAAGAGGAATCTACCAGTAGAAAATGTACAGTTTGCTGTCTGCTGTTGTAATTGGCAGGCGAGCAGCCTATCAGAACGCAATATTCAACGTTCTGTTATCTGCGAATTGGGTAAGCACGCGGTGGTGGGGGGGCGGGGGTCAGAACCTAGGAAGGAGAGAAGCTGGCTGCGAAGATGGCCGACGGGGACAGTGGGAGTGAGCGCGGTGGCAGCAGTGGTGGTGTAGGCGGCGGGTTTCAGCACTACCAGCGGGATCAGGAGACCCAGGAGTTGGCCTCAAAGCGACTGGATATCCAGAACAAACGCTTCTACCTGGATGTAAAGCAGAATGCGAAGGGCAGATTCATCAAAATCGCCGAGGTCGGCGCCGGGGGCTCGAAAAGTCGGTTGACCCTTTCCATGTCAGTCGCCGCCGAGTTCCGTGACTACCTGGGGGATTTTATAGAGCACTACGCCCAACTTGGGCCTAGCAGCCCCGAGCAGATCGCTCAGTCATCCGGCGGGGATGACAGTGGGCCTAGGCGGGCCTTGAAGAGTGAGTTCCTGGTTCGAGAAAACCGAAAATACTACCTCGATCTGAAAGAGAACCAGCGGGGGAGGTTCCTCCGCATCAGGCAGACCCTCAACCGAGGCCCCGGGTTCGGAGTAGGAAGTGGCGGAATCCCGGGTGGCATGCAGTCCGGACAAACCATCGCCCTCCCGGCCCAAGGGTTAATAGAGTTCCGTGACGCCCTAGCCAAACATATAGACGACTACGGAGGAGATGACGAGGAACTTGCCGGTGGCGGAAGAGCAGGGGGCTACAGCGAGCTTCCGGAGGGCACCTCCATCATGGTGGACTCCAAACGTTTCTTCTTCGACGTCGGGTCCAACAAATACGGAGTTTTCATGAGGGTGAGCGAAGTCAAACCCAGCTATAGAAACTCTATCACTATCCCGTTCAAAGCGTGGGGCAAGTTTGGAGGCGCGTTCTCCCGTTATGCGGATGAGATGAAAGAGATACAGGAGAGACCGAAGGATAAAATGTTTGAAAGGAGACCAGGAGGAGAAGAGTCGGAGGGAGACGAGGTGGACGACGATTGATTGATCAAGCCGGCTGTGTAATCTGATCAAGCTGTCTGACAACGTGATGCCAAGCTTGGATAGAAGAAGATCTATTTTGTGCATGACGTATGAATCGAACCTAAATTATAAAAAAAAAATAGTGGAGTACATAAAGTATATTTGACTGAGCAAAACTGTCTATATAAGAGAAATGCGTTATAAAGGTTAGATCTATGTTTTTTTATTAACTTTTATTTAATCAGAGGAGCCTATTGAGACCAGAGTCTCATTTTCAATGGTGCCCTGAGGACATAAAATAAAAGATAAAACTACAAGATAGAATAACAAGATACAATAACAAATACATTACATTAAAACATCACAGGCATCATAAATAAATAGTTAAAGTCAATCAATCAAAACAATTACACACCTCAGTGAACTCATTTATCATCAGGGTTTTAAACTGCCCTGGTGGCACCAGGTAATTTGTGCTAGCTAAACATTTAAAGACTGCATTAACTAGTTGGCTCATATGAGATTTTCCATTGATAAAAAATAAAAAATAAGATTGTCCATGTAATAAGTAACCCCACTCATGTAGCTAGCCCAGCAAATCCAGTCTCACAATGTTTCAGAACATGACATTAGGCCACTGGTCTCTTTTACCGGTAGAATATCTATTTTTAACTTTAAACAACTCACTTGGACCGGAACTATGTGCTGTATATAATAAGAAAAAAGTTACAATGTGGTGTTGCTGAGCAAAGAGATGTGAAACTCAGCTTATCTAATACATTGCTGTGTGTTCTGTCTTTTAAGTGGCTTGTACAGTCAGAGAACAACTGTATTGTTTTGGAAGAATTTGAATCATTGTTCTAAGTAGGACACAGAATTGGGCATAGACAGAACAGTGAGAAAAACATAGCCTGGTCCCAGATCTGTTTGTTCGGTCTTGCCAACTCCTGGGACCAGGCTAAGCAAGACAAACACCAAATCAGCATCAGTGCCCTAGTAACAGAAAGAAGTAAACAGCCCCATTGGTTGGTTGGGGAATCATTGTGACCACATGAGTGGCTGCATGCAGTGTGTCATGAATTGAAAAGCAGGGGATTCCCTCACCCTCCTTAAGGCTATAATGCTGCACATCTCCCATGTTAGATGGTTGTTATACTGGTTCTATGATCTTTCCATACAGTCTATGGTTCTGTCTTTTGGCCTGTGTGCCTGTAGGAATGAATATGATCTATCTATGGACATTTTACTAGGACGAGACCTGTGCCTGCCCTGTATTGTCAACCACAAGGATGGGAGGGAGTCTTGAATGTCAAATCCAGCAACCTGTTAGATCTTGGTGACTCCGAAGGAAGATGGCTTAAGCTAGGATGACTGGCTCTGGTCATTTTTTTTAGGGCTGGTTTCCCGGACACAGATTAAACCTAGTCCGGGACTAAACTATGCTCAATGCAGAATCTCCATTGAAATATATTTTCAGTCCAGGACTAGGTTTAATTTCTGTCTTAAACCAGGTCTTCCATTGATACTGGAATCGATCAAGTCATAAAGGGATTTGCCTTGATGACTAGTGTAGGATTATAAGTCATTTGGGTCCTTAATTCTTGAACTTGGATCATTAACAACTAAAAGAAACATCTGTTTCTTGTAATATTGGTGCTGTCTTAAATGTACTGTAGGGGATATTATACTTAAAACTATCAATTATAGATATAATTATTTTTCAAAAGAAATATATAGAAATATGTCTATTAGATGATATCTATGTGTAAAATGTATTGAGTATTGCTGCCTAAACTAAACTGGTGTAAGCTATTTAAAACACTAAAGCTTGGATGCAATCATCCAGGCAGACTTCTAACATTCATTTATTCCCTGAATGAAAAATGAAGAGCATAGAACACAATAGTGATGACATTAACAAACAGATTTATTTTTTAATTGTACACAATGCACTTCGAATCCAGTCCCATTCAAGTAGTCTGTCTCTCAATCTGTCCTCACTTCCAGTCCATTGGACAGAAAGAATATCCATCAAGCCCCTTCTCTCAATCCATCAGTTTTCAATTTTCTCTTTCAAGTTGGTACTCTTTCAGCTGACATTAACATGTGACTAAACACCATCCAGGCTTGTTAATTCAGTGGTTGGTCCTCTAAGTATTTTAACATGTTGCATGCCTGCTCCTGTATAGGACTGCCTTGTGTTCTTTTATTTTCCATTATATTGATTGCTGTATGTTGGTGTTTATAAAAAAAAAAAAAAAAAAGTTTGGGACAATTATCAAAAGTTTAATTCTGGTCAACATACATACAAAAAGTAATGGCATTCATAACCTTATTCAGGAAATTACATAATTGTCAACAACAACAACCATCACATTTCCCTCTGTGAGCCTTCTCCTATTAGCTTTACTTTACCCTACAGCATAGCAGGAGAGAATTCGTCATACAAACAACATCTGGGAGCAATAGTTTTTTTTTCTACTGATATACAAATATTATATATACACATGACTTTGAACTACAACTTTATTCCTGTATTGTGTTCCATGAAATGGCAGCTGTTTCCCTTGTGAGTTCTGCTGTAATATTCTACCAAGTTCCTTTCAACGGTAAATAAAAAAGTTCTTTGCTGAGGAGGACGGATATTGTTTTATTTTCTCCATCTAACAAATCAGATTCCACAATCATGGACTTGTTGTGGGCTAGGACTATGTTGTTTCTTTGATATAAGTAGTATGACAAATGAGGTTAGGGAGTTGGGAGGTCTTATTCAGCAACAGGTGTGCAATGCCAATTTGAAGGAATCTCACAGAACAGAATTCAAGTGATGAAACTAGGGACTCGGGAGGAATAACCCATTCAACCCTACTCGGGAGGTTACATAACCCATTCACTTCAGGGCGACCACTGTATAAATGTGTTTCAGTGTAGTAGATAAGATTGACAATGTTACCACAATATGATCATTCATCCTTGTCCAGAAACAACACTATGTACTTTTAATTAGATCTAAAATAATTGGATAAGTGTAAATAGCATCGCTGTAGCCCCATCTTGCCTTCTGATAGGTGGAATATTCAACACTGCTTATACCTGTTCCTGGCAGTGGCTAGGCTCTAGGCTAAGGGGTAGGATCTAGTGGCTGTTTGTGAACCAGGCCCCAGAGAGAGACACCATCAGTGGCGACCTGTCATTCAGGGCAGGTGTTTTGCATTTTATTTTGGCATTAATACGTGTCACATATCAGTTTGCAAACAATGTAAAAAAATACATATATCATTGAGTTAATAAAGCCGCATACAAACATGGTCTCTTCTTTGCTTTCTTGAGTAAGGCAGCTCCAAAATGCAGGTGTTTCG